CTCTTTATTCTGACATTTAACTAATTCAAAAGATATTTCAATATTTATTTATCCAAAACAAAACAAGTTTACTCTAAATTGATGTTGTACAGTAAAAAAACGTTCTTGTGTTTTCCATAAAGTGTATGTAAATATCTGGTTTCAACTGTGAATATACTGCTGTGTATTGAAGTTCCTCTTGTTTTGCATAGGAATATACTGAACAACATACAAAGCATAATATATAAAATACTACCAGAGTTTTTTCTTTGAAAGAAGCTCCTTATGTCCATTCTTGTATATCAGTGCATTACTGAAACCGATTTATTTAGCCATGGCGGGTAACAACTGAAAATATGAAATAAACACACATGTAAGCTAAGACTCTCTAAAGAAACAGCATTGTTGTTGTTCGGCTTTTCATTTCGCCATTTGTTGATTCACTTGAAGAGCAAGTAACGTAATATGGGTCAAGCGATCAGTTTGATATCAATCTTTTGTGATACACCGTCATATTTACATTATTTGTACAGTACAAATGATTTTCTTTGGTACCTGGTCAAACTTCAGCTCTCCTCTGTCTGCCTGGCTGCGTTTCTCCAACAGCGCACTCGTAGGCAGCAGCTGCCCCGCCCCCTTAGTGCCTGAGCTTGGATCATACCAATATTAGGGGGGATTTATGCACAGTCGTAAAATCCCACAGTGTGCACTATGTGCTTAGAATATTGTGTGTATTTTTTTGTTTTATACAGTTGTCAGCCAGGCATCTAACTATGAAAAAATTACACTCCAAAAGACTCCGGGCTTCTGAAAAAACAACCCGGGCTACACTTAGCTAATGCTAAAATTAAGACTAGCTGATGAGAGGGAAGGACTGAGAAAAATTAATCAAATATATGACCTACCTCCATGGTGCCACGTCCATATATTTGTCTCAGCAAGTGACTAAAACGTCCCCATGAAATAACACATTAAAAAAATATGACATTTTAAAGTGAATTCACAAAATTGTAAATGCTCCCCTCTAGTTCATATGCTGATAACCAAACTCTTGCAGTCATAGACTTGAGTTCAAACTGCAATGATTGAAAACTCACAACAAGTTATTTGCAATCTTTTACTGAGTTTATTTTATTATAATATAGTATAGGAGCAGGAAGGTTTGTTGCAGTCTAATCACTGGATGGACTCATGAGTTGGCTGAAGTAAGTGTTAGATGTGTTATAGTGTGCTATAATTTAATGTCGGTAACATTCATAGATGGTGAAAGGTTTGCAGTTGAAGTGTCTTTGGTAACTGCTACTCTAAGGAAACGTGGGATAAGCACTATTATCTTTTCTTTTTCTTTGATAGAATATTTTTATGCACTCGGGTTTGCAGTAACCTAGTGGATAAAAATCCTGATCTGATTTCTCCTTTCCAGTTTGTTTTGAGGTATATTTAATTGACAAGTAGAGTTTCTGTGATGTATTCAAAATGGAATGACATTAGTTTATTTAATTATATTTGTTTTTAAATTGTTTTGTAAAAAATAAATGTTTTAAAAAAGATATCCATATCTATTTTATTATTTGGATGAACGTGTAAGAAGAACAGAACTAGGACCAACAACTGCAGACAGTTCAACAAAACTGTAACAGGGTGAGAAAACTCAATATTTCACTTTTCAGAAAAGTTGGGCCAGCTTGATGCGAGAGGAGTAAGTGTCAACCTAACATTCTGTACTGTGTGCATATTGTGTCAGTGTTCTAAGTCAAACCACCTTTTTTATTGTTGTTTTTTTCATTTGTGAAGTTTCGTAAACTATATCTTGTATTCTGTTGTATGTTTGCATGTTGTATATTCGTTGCAGTAAAATATTGCCAGCCTGTTTTCTGTTTAACTAGGAGAATATAAGGCGTGCACACCCTAACCCTTCATTATTTTACAGTGCTAAATCTTAACAAACTAGATACACTCACACAAAAAACGTGTTCTACACATATTTTTTGTAAACACATGTAGCAGCAAGCTCACTAAATGCTTTATGTAAAATATTATGGATATTCATATGGTGGTTATATAAGATAAATTGATGTATGTTCCAAATGTAGAATGTTTCAGTAAAAAGTAAAGTAAAAATAAATTTACAGCAGACAATTTCTGGGAAAATTAAACATGCTTTTTTAAGGCTCACTTACACTGACCTATCCATTTTAGCTCAGACCATTTTTACCACATGAAAAGCAATAGTCGGCTGAATTTCATTCAGAACTGCCTAGTTGTCTAACAACCCTTTCAATTTAAATTCCTTGTCCTGTTTGATCTGCTCCACCTCCATGCTCTGAGGCCATCTGTCAATCTCCATTGTCAAGTCCAAGCACCAGACACTGAATGATCTTTTTTTTTTTTTAGAACTGCTTTTAATGTGAGTAATATATTTTTGCTTTTTAGTGGTTACAATAATCTTTCCTATTATGTCAAGACTCTTTGAGTCTCTTGAAATACATTCTATAAAATAATGGCATTATCATTGCAGATTATGCAAACATTAAACAAACGTTTCAACTTCTAGCAGTGGAAGTGAATTACATTGATCATACTGTTATAGTGCAACACTCTTTGTTGAAAACGCTGGGTCATGGCATTCATATGGATAGCACTTTGACACATGCCACCCAAACAAACATTTTCTCAGACAAAGCACACCCTCCCATAGTTACGGCACACCCATCAGGAGGATAATGGCCCACACCACAAAAAAACTACTCAGGAAACCAAATGCATTGACTTGATCTCCAAGATCCTATTATACCTTTGCAGCATCCCCCGGAACAAGCCCAGGCCAGTGATGCTGTCATCCACAGCCCACAGGACTTAAAGGACCCAGCATCTCCATGCCAGTCACGGCAGCATACATCAAAGGTTTAAGCCATTGTAGCAAAGTTTGAACTGAAACTGAGCTCCTAACTTTAGAGTCTAGGACCAACTCGATTAAAAGCCCCCTACATCATAACCCATTTTTCTTTCACCTGGCCTATTATGGCAACCATATGTGAGTTATGTAAATAATAATGCAAGTGGTGAACTGTAGTACAATAAAATAACTGGCAGTTCATTGTTTTTTGAGTTTTTGAAGCAGTAACTTTAAAATATGAGAAGATGAGAATTTGAAATGGTTAAATCTTGCTAGTTTTTTTTAAAACAACTGTTATTGTGACTCATTTGTCCAGGGTAACGATTCAAAACAGGGCTATAACTATACTGTTGATGGTAAAATTAATATTTTCAGATTATAACGACATTCTTCACTGCAGCAATTAAGGAGTCAAGATTTTAATCATTTATGCAAGTATACAGGGAAAATACAGTTATGTGTCTAGAGTGATCAGAACGGCCCCTTTTAGTGTCTTCTCTTAAAAAAGGAGACCCCTAAAAGCTATCAATTCAGTGTAGTGGAGTTAAAAAGAATAATAGTAATCACCATACCAGAATGCAGCACACAATAATCTCAAATGACGCTTTTAAAAACATTTTAAAGATATTAAAAAGAGGCTTTTACAGTAAATCTTATTGCTATAGAATTTCCCTCAAGCTACTCTGAAATTCAATGGTCTTTGCTTTGTTTTGTGGATCCAGACGAGCAATCAACAAAGGGCTGAAATGAGTATTTCTGAATTCAATCAAAACCTTTAGACCTGCTCAATAGCCAATTAAAGTATCTAGATAAAGAACAGAGTTTACTCTCTTTTTTGTCGAGCGTTTTTATCGCTAATCAAGAAATCACTGGTCCACTCAGCAAATGAGATGGACCCTGACGTGATCATCTTTTGAATACTCGTGATGCCATTGTGTCCTGCGTCAAAGGATAATGGACACCTCAGCTAATCAGAAACACAAGGCTCGAAAGAGGGAGTTTGTCTTCCTCAGTTCACTGATTGCCAGCTTCAGAACAGTTAGGCTATATGACGCACACCGTAGTCAGCTGGTGCGCGCTGCAGTTTCGCAAATAAGACTAAAAGACTTTTCGTGGAAAGATTGATTCGTTATGTTGCTGGCAGCAACTGGTGAAATGTGAATTTTCAGAAATGTTAGACTTATATCAAAGCAACTATTGGTGAAATTTATGAAAGAGCCTAAATGCACAAATTTATCCAGTTTTATTTAGTTTGGAAAAATATTTTGAAGTCCATGTTTCTTGACTAGAATGAACTCGGGCTCTTAAATCTTAACGAGAGCCGTTGCGAACCCACCGTTCTGTCTGCATAGAAACACCAGTTTTTATTTTTTACATTTTATATATTTATTTAAGAAGAATTTGTTTGTTAAACAATATCGCATCAGATTAATCACCGCGATCGGTGTGAGCAGTTATTCTGTTGCTGGGCTGTTTGCGTGTGTCCACCCGGATGTTATTTAATAGGTTACACGGTCATATCCTTAAGAGATCTTACTGCCCATGGCCTACACGGTCTCCCTGACATCCACTCACAAAAAGCCATTGTATACTTGGCCACTGAAATCTGATTCGTCTTCTTCTTCCTTTTTAAACCTACTTGAAAGCAAATATTTTAACCACATCTCAGTCTCAAGTGGATTTGTGTTAGGAGCACTTAGATTTAAGTCACTGTCACAACAGGCCACTCTCCTGCAGCCTGTAAAAATCGCAGATTTGAGAAATGTCATGTTCTCTTTCATCTTATCCAGGCGTGTACGCTTAACACCTGATAGCAGACTTGGACGGACTGTTTGGCAGCTGCTCTAAAGAGGTGGGTTTGGGCACAGCTCAGTTGTTTCTGTTATTGTGGCCAAGCCCACGCATAGTTTTTTTTATTTTATTTCTTTAGGTAGCCTGCTGAATGGTTGGCACAGCAGACTCAGCTATTTTTTTTTTTTTTTTGTAAACGTATGGTAGTTCCAAGAAGACCGCGTTCTCGGAAAGACTGAAACATAATCTTCACTTTTCAGTGACTCAGCGAGCCTGGTACACGACCAGATATTTGTTTCAGGGCTACAAGATGACAATGGCATCTATCAAGCCCATTCAAACTATGCGTGGCCACTGAGCCGGATCTTGAAGATTGAATGCATGTTTGGCACGGTACCTATCCATCTGAATCCCCACCTCGAGGCAACAGGTTACACGTCTCGCCTCCCTCAAATGCACTTATAGCGCACGGCTTTTGCACGGCTTTGACTTTCCATTTCTCCCAGCACTGCGCCTTTTGCACATGCCTCTCACCATGGTGGAACATAACGGCCTGGATATTATGTGTCCGAACAAGTATAGCAACAGCTCCTCGTCGTCGTCCAGCTCCGAGCAGGACAAGAAGATCTTCAGCAAACTAAAAATCAGTTTGTCCGAAGACTATCCGAAGAAGAACGCGGAGTTCCTGAGCGGGCAATACGGGACCAATCTGCTGTTGATCGGGGCGGCGTTGATGCTTGCCATCGCAAACAAGAACCCCTCCGTTAAAGAAGAGGATCTGCGGTCCTTCACTACCTGCCTCATGATCCTCCAGCTGCTCTGGATGATGTGGTACATCTTGGTACGGGACAGGCAAAAGAGCGTGCCGCCAGAAAAAGATGTACACGCCACCTCAGGCTGGATAAGAGGCGAGTTTGCGAGATTAAACAAGCAAATGCGCACTTATGCAACAGTTTTTTCCGTTAGTGTGAAAATTAAAGGGATTTATGCGCGTGACCACTATATGTTTGTTTCATAACTTAAAGATAACTTGAATGTTAACATATGTGGTCACAAAGACTTTATTTTCTTTGATTATATCGCTCAATAACTTTATTTTTCTAGGTGGTTTGACCCTTCTTGCACTCCTTTCACTGATTATGGATGCTTTCCGAATTGGGCAATATGTTGGTTTTCAACCTTGTGTGTCGGCGGTGCTCGTGGTATATCCTGTCATCCACGCAACTCACACTATGGCACAGGTATGTGCACAGCCTAGGCTTAATTTTTAAAATGTGACACTCTTTCAGCAGTATCTTTTTTTCCCATATACTATTTCAAGATCTTAGAATAATGTGCTCTTTGTTGTTAAGGCAAGTAGAGAGCGTTGCTGCGACAGTATAATCCGATCATTGTCCATGTCGCTTGAGTGTAACTGCATATATCAGTGGGAATCTTTAAATGCAATGACTTAAGCAAATAAATAGAATTAAGTTTACAATAAGTATGTGCTTAGTAAATTATGAAGTGTATTTCTGAAGCTTGATAGAATCACTAAACTGCATTTTGGACATGACTTTGTCAAGCTTTTTTTAAGACTTGTGTTTGGGTTTTATTTAGGTGCATTTTCTCTGGTTTCACATCAAGGATGTCATCAAGAGCTTTGAAACATTTGAGAGGTGTGTGAAATGTGCGATAACCTGGGCCTTTAGTCAATATATCCTTTTTTTCTTTTGTTTGTTTTTGCACCTGCAAATCATAAGAAAATTATGTGTTCATAGTTCTATTTTAATCAATGGCATGAAACAAGCTCAACAACACCGCTAAATCCTGTCACTTATACTTGCTGTTAGGTGATCGGGTGTCTTATTTTCAACTGCTGTCTCCTCAGATTTGGTGTAATCCATGCAGTCTTTACCAACATCCTCCTGTGGTGCAGTGGTGTGATGTCAGAGGCTGAACACTTCCTGAACAACCATAAGAGGAGACTTTCTGCCCTGGGCCTCATAAACCTCACTACAGGTAAGGACCCGGGGGTCGATTGCAGGCTTGTTTTTAGAAGAAAAGTACAATAGTCCGCTTGAGAACTCACTTCAGTGGATGAAAGAAAAGGGAAAGAGAGGAGGGCTTGGAAGTGCAAGGGAGGTAAGCCTGGCTGCTCAGCGGGTCTTGTTTGTGTCGAATGTCTCTCTATTAGGTTTCAGAAGACACATATTGTTGCCCCCTCCCCAGTCCTTTCCCCACACTTCAGCCACCACCACCTCCTTTGGCAACCCCCCACTTGACCTCAGACGGCTTTGTCCCCAGGCTGCTTAGACCCAAGGGTACTGCAATTACAGTAACTGATACATCTAAGCTTAGGGTTGAGGGGTTCTGCTACTCTTCTTCATATCCGGCTGACTGTGAGGCTGGCTGCACCCTGACTGTTGTTCACTTTTTAATTAAAGG